TTGGCAAAATTTAAAAATCTTTATTTGTAAATGTATTAAAGAGGTATACTCTTTAGTAGATCTAAAGACAAATCAAATTTCCCAAAAATCAAAAATACAAATGTAAAGACTCGTATATATGGGAATATATATATATAGATGTATGTATGGAGATCCAAAACAAAAAATTACGAAAATGTAAAATTAGTTGACGGCAAAGATCAAAGCTAAAGAGTTTTTAATGATCTGTCATTAATTGTATTTTTAGACCTTTATAAATTTGTGTGCATAATCAGTTCATCTATACAAGATATTTCGTTTGCTTTAGGTAAATTGATGAAAAAAATCACAAAAGCCCTTAAAACTTATCACTGCTTTTTATTATCTCACCGTTTTTTATGCATATACATTATTTGTATTATTTGTTTTTGCGTGATTGAATGTTGGGAACTTAGTAATTATTAGCACGAAATAGTAAGTAATTTTGTTCTAATGATATTATTTATAGATATAAAAGAAATGTGTTACATAGTACTTAAAATATTCTATGTTCTATTAAACACTTAAAAATAATTAATTCTCACTGAACAATAATATATCCGCATAAGAACATACTGTAAAAAACTGTATTCGAAAAGTCACATAAACTCGGGAATTCTACCTCTAAATTCTAACTATCTGTCGACAATAACGAAAATCGATATATTTAAGTCTAATGTGTTGTCAGGGCTTATATATGAGTTGTTGGTCAGCCACAAGCATTTGCTGGCAGATGTGTTTGATACATTCTAAAAATTGATAATCAAACAATAACTTTTATCATTGGTTATGTTTTGAAGGAGGTGGCTTAAATTTACGTGTCACCATACTGTAAAGAGAAAGTAATGCAATAGGGTTGATCTTGATACAAAGATAATCATTAATATAATTTAGCACCCGATTCAGATATTTTACCGAGGACTTGTGCTACTTAAAGCAGTGGTTCTCAACATTTTTTGACCAAGGACCATTATGACATTTTTATTTTTAGTAGGGACCACAAAGTTTAAGAATAATAAACTCTATGATAAACTGTATAAAGTATATTAAATTTTATGCGTCTCTATTGCAATGTATAATGCATTGTATAAGTGCATATATGTAAGTAAAATAAAGTATAAAATAGATATATAATTACTTGGAAATTTTTAGTGTTTATTTTCTAATAAGTGAGGTCTAAATGGAGAAACTACATGCTATGTATTCATACCTGTTAAAATTGATTTACGGACCATTTTTAACCAATTTTTATACAATCGTTTCATATATATATATATATGAAAATATGTTTTATTAGCAATATAGATGGTTTACATAGAATCTCTAATTTTATGTGTGTCTTGATAAGTCTTATAGTTCCTTAAATATGTTTCCCGGATTGATCACATTTGACTGGTTCAGATATAATCACTTGTTGCTTTGAATATCATATTCTTTTAACAAGGTTTAAAGAAATCGAAAGCCTAAGTCAGTGTGAAACCTCAACCCAATGTCCTTTCAGGATCATCAGGATCATCGATATGCTATTTTGCAAGAGATCGTTCGCAAGAGATCGCTCTTCCTGATTATGTTACCGTTCTCTAAGTGAACACGAGAGTTAGGAAAATTTTTGATCTGTCGTAGGTGTAGCGCCTTGCCTGTTACAAAGGCGACTTAGCGTCCCACTGGTCCACTGGTACGTTGCTTGTTGCGCACGTCTGTGTATTTGAACTGCCAGTCGTATCAGGTGCTTTATTACTGCCCCCCATATAAGAGTGGCATGAAGTTTAAAATTATCCGTAAGTATCGAGAGAATACATCTTATTTTCCCCTAAATATCACTTATGTTGGAGAGGTTTCGCGTTAGCCCGCTGCTCACCGTGGTTGCCTTAGAGTTTACTACTGTTTAAAACTCAGTCTTATATTAATCGTGACTCTAAAGTGTTTTATTGTTTTTTGTGACAATATTTTATGTCCACCAATTATAAATTTTATCTTCGTCTATTGTTATCTTTTGTTTGTCAGTAGCCGCCAACTCCGCTTCTGCATTTTTAAGTCACCCTTGCTACCACCCTTGGAAGCCATATGTTCTTTATTGGGTAAAAGATAACACTAGAAGTAATTCGAAGCTTAGGCAAACGAGTTCTTTGAATGACAAATTTGCTGATAATTTTAGTGAGAAGTATTTTCAGTAAATCTTTTCTTTTGAATTAAACGTCAAAGCGCCAACACTTAAGAGTTGTATAGAAGACAGTATTTTAATAATTTATCTGTCTTAGAGTATATCCTATATTCTCTACATGTGAGATATTTCTTATGCAACAACGTACTGATTTTATATATATATATTCACGTTTTAGTATTGATTATGATGATATTCTGCTCATGGGTTAGCTCATGAAACTAAAGTAGACTTTTTAAGTACGTTTAATAACAATATAATGTAACATTAATATAAAGAAGTTATTTTCAATTTATTATAATAAAATTTAAAATAAAAATAATAATAAAGAATTATATGAAAATAACATTTTTTATCCAAGCAATATCCATTTCATGAAGGAAGCAGAATTTAAAAAAAATAATTTATTAAATTAATTAGTTTATTTTATAGCTCACTTAATATCAAGAGCAAAAAAGACAAATATTATATATTATATGTACTAATTTATAAAATTAGTCTCAATATACATAATAAGTATAATTACATTAAATCAAGATTAATGCTTTACACGCAATTTAGGCAAACCGAAAAGTCCCTTCTGCACGCATTTAAGCAATGAACACAGCGGGAGTGAAAGAAAAAAACAAAAAACTTAAGAAACGAACTTGTTCCAATTAAGAGAAACAACAATAAAAGCAAAGCCTAATAAACAATATATAAATAAAAGAGAAGAAAAAATAGAAAACACGAATGGCGGAATAATAACAATAAAAGTTAATCGGTAAAAACCAGAAGCACTTTCGGCATTCGATTAAGTGGAGATCAGCAGAGGAAGATAACATTGGTAATACCGATTATTAACAAGTAGCCAAGGAAGGGGGATTATAATGATTATGGAGAACATGATTTTATCTTCGCAATTTGGCTTTTGAGTTTTGCCGCGCAGATAAAATAAAGGCAATAAATGAAAACATCAGAAAATTATGAACCAAATTAACAATGTTTGGAACTCTACGCAAAAATAAAAAATTTTAAAAATAAATTTATTAATTAAAGAAAAAAAATTTTTTTATATGTTAACAAATGCGAACATTTTGAGCAATATATTCCAAAAATGGGTTTTTTGTTAAAAAAAAAATTTATAGCAATAGATTAAATATAAAATTTTGTAGCATTTCTTTTATTTTCAATTAGTCTCAAAAAGTTTAGATAGACCATACAGATATGGAATCATTATCATAATATTATGATAAGATTACAAACTAAATAGTAGGATTTAATAGTAGGATTTTACAATTGTAGGATTTTTCGAGTGTATTCAAATTCGAATATTTCGAACATTTCAAATATTCGAAAATGTTTGAGCTATTCGAAAAACTTGACGGCTCTGTTGCACTCTATTTTCGTTTTGTTTTATACAATCTATGTAACAGCATACGGCCGAAAATTAAACATCATTTTCGAATAGCTCGCTAGACTCGAGCTGTATCGTCAAATAAAAGTATGAAAATGTTTGAAGGCTCAGTTGGATTAAATAATATTTAAGGCTATAATAATGAGTTGGGCAGTTTGTTGTTTTGATAATGCAGCATGGTTTCAGTTACATATGGCAAACAAAACTGTCATCCAAGATATGAAAAACTAAATTTAGTGTAATTTTTGTTGTTGTACAATATCAATCGTTTACCAATCGCAGAACTTGCTAAAACTAAAAATACAATAAAAATGGAGATTTGCATCGAATTTTCTCAGTGGTAAGGCATATTTTTTTCATGGTGGGTGTGTTAGCCAATACAAGTATCACACATAGGGTAGTAAAAATTACATTTTTCGAAAGACCATTGCATCTACAAAAACTCCTTGACTGTATTCATTCTGGCTAGAGGTGTGATAGGATCATAGGGTCATAACTGATCTGATAATCCTTATGATTAAATAGTTTTTTTGTGGGCGAAACTGAAGATAGGGATGGGGAAGACATGTGATTTGGATAAAGTCGTTCTACAAGCTAGAAATTTTCAGAATGTGAATTTTCATGTTTGTAATTGGTCATCAAAATCATGCAACTATTTTAGAATTATGAACCTAAAATGGAAATATATAAATAAACACAGCATTTTTACTTTTTAAGATCAGCATTACAGTTATGAGATACAGTTAGCCATTCATATAAATTTATAATATTCATGCCCAGAAAGGCAACCTGGTGATTATTATTCATTAAGATTGTAAATCTAAAAACTAGTCTGTATTAAAGTACAGATAGGAATGATGTCTTGATTTCATGACAAATATACAAGATATCATACATTTAAACTATTTCAGTCATTCATCTGATTGAAATGAGAACATATAGAATATACATCGGAGTGATCGATTATTTGCATTTTTCTACAACCAGTTAGTTTTTTTGAATAATTAAAAATTGGATAAAAACATTGAAATTTAATAAAAAACTATCCATGTAAGATGTGAAAAACCGCGGTTAAAATGTATAAGTCATTAACCCGAGTGTACATTCTAGGGTCTTTGATATCTACCTTACCGCACAATAAAGTTTTTTGAATTACTTTTTATGATCTGTGTGAAAAGTAAAAATATATATTACATATTAATATAATATATAATATTAATAAAATAATCGAATAATATAAATTAAATTGTTTTATAAAACAGTTGGTTAAAAAACATATGAAACATATAATAAGTAATATGTTTTGGAGCATTATAGTAAAATGTTTTTGTGTTAACGAAAAGTTATGTATAAATGGTTGCATTATTCTTCAGAGATCAGATTCATTTGAGCACAGTATTTAAAACCGAGTGTTGTAGGAAGTTAACTATTATAATTGAAACCACAAACAGTTGTAGTTAAATTTTAAATTTAAAAATGAAGTTGACACTGATTTTCCTCGTTTTACTTGTTGTTTTTGTTGCATATTTAGAAGCCCAGAATTGTCGTGGCAAACCTCGTAAGTTTGATATTATATATAAAATATTTATAGCAATAAATTTCTGAGATAGTTACAATTTTAATCCTTAATAAATAAATTTGCTTAACATTACAAGAATAAATAAATAATGCAATATGTTTGTATAAAAATATATTAATACCATATATACTAATATATATTAATATATATAAATATTAATTAATATATATTAATATCATATGTATACAATATATTAATATTATATATATTATAAAATTAAAAATATTTTATTCTTTAATTTTTGACCAAAAACATTATATAATAATTTATTAGCGGGCTAATTGATCAATTTAAATAGAAATAAAAAAAACTATAATTTATTATTTATATTTAAAAACAGTTTATATTTTATTAAAATATTTTTTTAATATTTCGACTATCTTCGATAGTCATCTTCAGGGCAAACAAAAGATGTTTTCATTTTAAATGATTTAATTTTCATAAAAAAAAGAATTAATAATATATATATGTGAATAAATAATCTGTACAATTAAATATAAAAAAAAATAAAAATATAATATTAAGGAAGATAATATAAAATATGATTGAATTAAAAAATAATTAAATAAAAAATTATATATAAACAAATACAATAATTTCAATATTTTTATTTTAATTAAAAAGTAAATTGCTTTAAATATATAAATAAAACAAATTTTTTATCTATTATAGACAGATAAATATATGAACATATAGTTATTAACAAATATAAAATTAAAAATAAAATTTACGTGAATACAAGTGTGTAAATATATAGTTATATATAGATATACCATTGAATTTAATAAATATGTCTGTATGTATGCAAAAGTGTAAATAGATAAATAAAATATATAAAAAATAGACATATAATATATATAATAAGTAATAATTAATAAATCATGAAAAAAAAACTAAAGTGGAAATAATCTCATTAAGGTCTGCATAATTGCGCTGGAGGTGGAAGTATAGGACGTGGTGGACGTCGTTGCCGACGCAATTCAAATCGCTACATGTGGTACTTCAATAGCCACAGTAGACAATGCGTAACGTTGCACTATTTAGGATGTGGAGGTAACGCTAATCGGTTCTGCTCGAAGGCTTCATGTGAAAGGTCGTGCCCAGTACTAGCTGGATAGAGTAGAAAAATGAACAATAAATAGTTTATTTAAACTTAAATATATTCTACAAGATATAAATATATATACGTATATATATAAATAAATATTATTAAATAAAACTCGATTAAATTATTTGTTAAATTATTGAGAGCATAACATATATATGGAAATTATGAATTTCCATATAAATGTATAAATCATTCTTAAAAAAATATTTGAAAATTAAATACGAAATGAACAAAATTATTTATTTATAAGAACCATTACAACCACAAATTAAATAAAACAGACATTTTACAATGTCTTTTGTTCTGCAGCAACCCCCATCATTTTTAAATTGTAGCATTATCGATGTGTAATAAATCTTCTATGGTATCTTTTCTCCTTAAATGATAGTTAGGAAGATGTATTCTCTATTATTAAAATTTTATTTAATATTGTGTTTTTGGATTCGTTGATTAACCAATCAAAGAACAGTTTTAAGGAAGGAGGTGCAAACTACCGAAAACAATAAATAACTTTTCATACCTGTAGCTGAGATTTCGGTGATTTTGACTTGCCATTGGTAGTTGTTATTATGAATAATTCTTTGTGTAAGTGATAAAATATAACCTGTAATTCTACGAATATTTAGCTATTTAAAACGTTCAAGACATATGTGTTCGATCGAGTAATCAAATTGAGGGACACTAACTGCACATAATGTATGAGACTAGATAATGTTTAACGTCAGTTAGGACGGAAGTGACTATTATATTTAATAGAAAGTAAAATATTTGGTATAAAGGTTTCGAAAAGTAGTGAGCTGTAACAAAAAAATTCTTTTTATATTATTTTAATTAATTGAATTGTTGGCTGTCCATACAGTTATTTCGAGTATTGCCAAATACGCGTCATCAGTGGTCTTGGAAATATTCAGATAGCCGAAGTTATCTTTATTTAATGAGTTCTTTATTTAATGAGTTTATAAACTTAAACTTAATATTAATAACAATAAGCTCTTAATCTTCTATTCATTTATTTTGCATCTAAGCAGTCATCTGCATTAAGACGACGTTGCGGGAAATAGTTTATTTACATTTGGAATGTTTCGGTCTGAATAAGGTTAAAAAACTGAACATGCATTCTATTGATAACACTATTATTAAAATTATTATTTTTCTAAATTAAATATAAGCATTTATAATAACAATTTTAATAATTCAACTTTAATACACTTGTCTAATTTAAATTTTAAAATTTTTTTTTTTTGTTTTAAATTTTTAAGTTCAATGACTTATTGTTTCCGTTTTATATATAAATGATATAATATTATTAAGATTTAATAACGATTTAAATGATATATGTTTTTCTTAATTTAAAAATAAATAAGTTATTTATAGAAACGAATTTTACATGTTAAATTGAAACTCAATAAGAAAAACACTTGTTTCAATAAAACTGTTGTTTAGTTCCAATTAACACATCAGTCATACAATAAAGTATTTCAAAATATAGGTTAAAAAAGAAAAGTAATTTTTTATTTGTTTTTATTGTGTAAATTTTAATATTTAAAAATATTAATAAAGAAAATTGTTTAGTGTGACATATGTTTATATAAACTGATTATATATACCAACATGTTGAGTACCATTTAAAAGCAGTACAGTTTAATGATTAACACAGAACCCGTTATATATACGATATACTTATGTATATATATAAATATAATATATGGTCTAAGGTTTAATATATATAAATAATTTTAGTTATGCATATAATATTCAGTTAAAGGCTAGGTGGTTTATTGTGACAGTTAGTCGAAGCCATAATATATTGCGTAATACTTTCTCGAGAGAGATAAAAGCATGAATGTCTAAGAAACCTGTGTTTAATTCGTGTTCTATTGTTTTTTCTTCTTTCTCGTCTCTACAACTTATATAGTACTATACTATAATCAAATAGGTAGAAAGCAGTTATATCAGATCTGCTTAAGAGACAGCTTCGTTTGAAAATCTAAGTATTTCTCAAGAACTTTTCTTAATAAATTTCAGTCACATTAGGCTTGCTCCACAGTTTCCTTCAATATCATTGTAATCTGCAACTCATCTCAGACGTCCCTTGAAAAGGGTAGTTATATCATTAATAGTTGTCAGACACTTTAGCGACATATACACTTTATATGCACCGACTGCATAAATTTAACAGTCCTTTGGTTATATATGACATACACTTAAAGAGTAGCAATCTCAAAATTCTTTGAGAAGACTCTAAATAGGATTTTTTTTTAGGAATTTTAGTTTTCCTTTATGAGATGAATGTTTTCTAAATTTTTTGCGGCGTGATTTGTATCTTCGGTCAATTTTCTTTCATATACGAGTACCACTTGCCTTAAAGGAAAGTAGACAAATGATTTCTTCCTCTAATAAAGGACAAATAATAACTGATTGCATTATCGGATGACATCCTTAAATGATATATATTTTAAAAACTTTCCTTTTCGATAATATAAAATATTATATATATTAATAATATATATTAATATATTTATATTGATAAAAATATATATTAATAATATTTTTTATTGTGTGCTCTAGTGTAGGTTACACTAAAAAAAATGAAATAAATATATACACGTATACATATATGTGAATAAATACAAATATGTATATACAATATTTAATTAAATGAAATATCTTTGTCTGAATAATCTTCTCGTCTTTTGCTTTTGTTGATACATGATGTCGTACGGTTATGACTAGGCCAATAGTGGTAAGGTAAGTGTGTAATGTCGAATAGAAGTGGGAGTTAAGGGTTCATCTCCTTAAATTTTTTGAAACACTTTACGTATTAAAAATAATTAATTTTTTTTGAGTTGATTTTTTTAGAAATTTTTTTTTTTTGTTTTTTGTATTTAATTTAAATTCAATATGTATTCTGTCACATAGTATGGTGACATTTCACAATTTTTTTTAATAAATACTAATTGAGACTTGATCATTTACAATTAAAGTAGTTCTCCCTGTAGAGAGCTACTCTTTTCTTTTTAATTTAAGATTTTTATAATAAAATTTGATTTTTATAATAAAATTTGATTTTTAGAAATAATTTTTTTTATATGGAATATAAATTGGTTTTTAAAGCCCTTTTGGTTTAAAGCTCATTAAATGTGTCTCCGTATACGCTTCCGTAGGTGTAGGACTGCCTTTTTCTGTAGAATGTCTGATTACCATTTTAATTAATAATACTTATGGAAATAATATTTAATTTTAGAGATTTTACTGATAATTACAATAAAAAAGTATCATAAAACAAAACTTATTAATTACTTTAAACAAACTTTAAGCAATTATAAAGATTCCTCTATCATGAAATATGAAAATATCTTGTGACTTCCTTTGTGAACCGTTGTACAGTAGTAACGTCTCCATTAGATTATAATTTGTTGTTTTTTATTTGTTTATTTGTTGTTTACAATGTTAATTGTTCCGTTGATGTTACATAGAAAGCCATAAAGGAACGCCGCTTCGAAACGTATTAATCTTAGATGATCTGCAAATGTTAGCAGACCTGGTAGACATACTGCAGTTTTTTTATCGCAGAGAATTGTTGTTAGCCTCAGGCCTTTTCTTAGGTCTGCCTTTACTGGCTGTTGTAATTATTACACGTATTTAATGAATAAATATTAACAAAACAAGCACAGCATTCAGTTTTCTCTTCTTTATACTTAAAATTTTTTTTTCTTATTTTTTTTAACTAATTAAGCATCTAATCTGGAATTTGAGTATAGCATTTACCATAATTTGCCGCTTTCAACTTGCCGCCTTATTTGATATAAATTTTGAACGTGTGGCGGTAATGGATTTTGATATTGCTACATTTAACTGCTACATTTAAATATGTATATACATACAAATTTTTTAATTTTAAATAGAGGTTTTTTGAACAAATTTATATTTATAAATAAATATTCGAAATTAAGAATATTACGGGGTCACTTCTTATTAATTACAACACTTTTAAGGGTGAAGTGAAATTAAAGAGCTTTTGTGAAATTTTGAACAAAAAACGTTTAAGTTGGTTTTTTAGTTTTTTATTTTTATGTTATATAGTTATTTAACTTATTTAACTAGAAGTTTATTTAATTTTTTTAGGACGAAGTATAGTAATAATTCGAATCGTCGACAATATTAATTTAACTTCTTCTTTAACACGGAGCATTGTAATAATTTGAAACGTCTGTGATATTTACATAGATAATATGTTAGGTTAGGTTATACCGACGATTCCTAGTGGACCCACTTAGGCCTATTGGCCCATTGTGGTATCGTATATGTAGGAAAAACTCAGGGAAAAACTTAGAACCTTTGACGAAGCCTAAAACGCTATTTAGTTTCGGGGCTTGTAATTGGTCAAGATTTTCAAGAAAGGGGGCTACTATATTATTGAGTCGCAGCCGTGCATGAGCTGGGCAAAGACAAAGTATATGAGTGACACTAACATCGTCTTCCCCACAGCTGCGATAGGTATGATTGAAAGGGAGATTCAATATTCTAGCATGATTACCTAATTTACAATGACCTGTAAGCAAACCTACCATAAGACAATGATGAGAGATTTGGATTTCCTTAGTCGGAACGTGGCTAGATTGCATACAGATGCCTGCATATCGTTGAGTCTTCCCATCTTTTATTAAAAATTTTAGTTCAGAAGGAACTCAGTAATAATTTGCATGATGTTAGCGATATGATTAGATTATTTAGTTGTTCCAAGTGAGGTCCTGCAGCACCCTTTCTGGCTAGTTCGTCTGCTCTGCAATTGCCGAAAATATCTCTATGACTGGGAACCCAGATTAGAGATATATTGAGTTGTGTCGACATTTCGCTTAGAGATGTGTAGCAGTCAAAAACTGTCCTAGATGTAAATTGGACTGAACTCAAGGACTTTAAAGCGGCTTGACAAAGATGAAAAGTATATAAAATAAAAAATTATAAAATCAACTTGAAAGTTTTTCAATCAAAGTTTTACAAAAGCTATAGAAATAACATAAATAACACTTAAAAAGTGAACTCGCAACTATTCTAATTAAATAAAAAAA